TTTATTAAAAAAATGATGTTGTGGACCTTGTATTCACTTTCTGTTATGTTAGGGGAGACTTCTGAGCAATGAGATGTGTGCTTTTAATTTTTAATTAAAGATAATTTAAAGGATCTACGGCGTGTTAGATGCATGGTTTTTTTTCCGTAACAGTGTTTAAACTTACTCTTCTATTACATATTTCATAGTATGCTTTATTAGTTTACCCTGGAACAAAATGAACTGTGATATTGAACTGTGTAGCATGTGTAAGTTAAATTCGATTTTATCTGCAAACAGAAAAGAATATGGCTTAACTTCATGTGACTCTTCTTCCTCTCACCTCCTACCCCCATCCTCTTATATTTCTTATACTGTGATGTCGACTTAAATTGCTTCTACAACTTTTAGACAACAGCAACGCTGAGGTCTCAAAACAAAATTTTCATCATAAAGACTTTGAATTTTGTTCTTCATTCAACTACTGTCCACACATTCTGGTCTCCCCTGAGTTTTTAGAGTGCTTTAAGCTTCCTGGCAAGCTTACGCAGGTGAAAGCGACATTGCTGCTGCTGCTGCAGCTGGGCAATTCAGTTTTCAGAGTCACAGCAAAAGTCTTCAGCAGTTGCTTATAGCCTTCCACATCTGCTACTGGTCATGTCACTCTGCATGACAGCAGTTTTATCCTTCTCAGGACAGTTTTTGGTGTTGTGCATGGCAATATTGTGCAGTCTCTGCAGAGTCTGGGGCATCTCATGCTCTAAAGCCTGCAAGGGGTGGCTGTGCCACGCGTCTTATCTAGTTCAGGAGTGAAGCTGGGAAGTTAGAAAGCTTTACAGGTATAGATATCCACTCTCCATACCAATAAAGTGTTTCCTGTCCCCCCTCCTCCAAAAAGGGAAAGGCACATGAGGAAGGAAATGCTGACAGTAGCAATTAGAATGTGACTCCTCTATGGCGAGGCAGAACAGACTGCAAGCGGCTGCTTTCGGAAAGAAGGCACCTGAAAGGATGTAAAGCATAGTCTGAAAAGTTACCCCTCACAAGCTGTTCTTGGCCTCCCAAATGAAATTACCAGACAGCAGCTTCAAAACACAGCGGAGTTTCCCATCACAGCCCAACCAGGTCTTTCAGGTGTAGAATTTGGATCAGTGCTCTAATACATGATGGCTAAGCGTAAAAACGAGCTCGGAACAGAATTGGGCCGAATAAATGGAGAGTAAATACTCAATACATCAATTAAGATGTAATCCCTGGTTGTGGAAGTTCACGAGCTGCTGATGGTTTGTGCATCTGAGGTTAACTGGAGAGGATGCCTCTGCACTGGGTTCTTGTGCTGGCTCCCTCTGACAGAGTCAGGTGAGTGCTATGGGATGGATATGGATTTTTTTCCAATTGCTTTGCATTTGTTTCCTTCCCCCATGTCTGGGTTATGGCTTCGCAACTCATCTGTGGGAAAGCCAAGTGAAGATTACTTCACACAGGGGTTTAAACATGCCCACCTCCCTGTAAGTAATATCTATTCCAGTGGACATAAACAGAATCTGATAGCTTATTTTATTCAGGTAATAGTGTTCATAAAAAGCATCAATCTCAGGTAAAACTTATATTAACTACTGCTGTGGCCAAAATATTACCTCTGTTTCAAGGTGATCCAGGAGTGTGATTCAAAAAGTAGCTGAGCAACATCCTAGAAGTGTGGGGGATCTCAATGAGCATTTTTGAGAAAACCTACGGTGCTAAGATTGTAAATTAGCTAATTGTGAAACTGAATTTAAAGACAGGCAAACTGTCTACAGCCTGTAAGTTTAGATTATGGTTTGTGGTCCTACTATAGATGGCCACGAAGGGAAACAAGCAGGAAAGCAGCCTTGCGGAGCTGTAAGTTTTCCTCAGCTTTGAGGGGAAGGAATGGGAGGTGATGTGGGATTTATATGGCAGTGGTTTATGTCTCTTGATTTCAGCCAGAAGTTGTGCCGTTGTCCTCCAAATGCCTGGAGCAGAGAAGGTCTCAAAGGAGAGAAACCTAGATCACATCCTAGACTTCGCTGTTCTTGTGGGGTCTATAGGAAGCTCTCATCTAAGAGAACCACGTGTGAATGATAGTTATTTTGTACAGCAAATATTTATATGGTCTGTTTTATTTCAAGTCTCTTAACAAGTTTGCCCTGATGAAGTTTCTTGTGACTGTTTCCCGCTGTCCTTTTACCTGGGAGGAAGAGAATTGCCAGGAAGCAAGAAGTACAAGCGAGGTCTGCCTTGATGGTAACATTGAGCAGCCAGTGCCCTGACACTGCTCACTTTGCAAATAGTGGGAGCCACCACTAACGAGCAGGGGGCTGTATTTGTAGGTAGGTCAGTAATAAGAGGGGTAATTAGGCTGAGGCTTTTTGATCCTTCTCTGTTGAAACAGACCCTCCCCATCCTCCTGCTTGCTCACACCCTCTCAGATAAAGCAGTTCAAAGGAGAGTGATCAGATGATGAAAGGTTCTCTCCCAAAATTTATCAAAACTCTGTTATGTAGTAAAGATGATGGTAGTTGATACCTTACCTAACTTCTGAAAAAATTAAGAGTATCAGAAAGTTATATTTGCATTGGATCTCGTTACCATATCTCTAATTTAGCGCGGTCCAATGTAAGAATTATGGACTTGTGTATTCAGCTCCGAGAGAGGGCAGACCGAGGAAAATTGCTGCTCCTTTCCATGTTCTCTGCTTCCTCCTGATAGCAATCTTTAAAAGATTGACTATAAGCATTACACTTCCTGGAAGTCTTAATCTCAGCTGAGTATATTGTCCTTTTGAGAGGAATACAAGATTAATGCAGCGTCATTTTCTTCCTTTTTTATATACTTTATGAAATGAGCTTTGAGCTTTTCAGGTCTTTCTACTGTTCTGGAACTTTTACTATTAGAAAACTGTGCCTTGCTGGATTGTTTATTAGACTCCACAAGTTTTTGTCTAAACTATGCTTATCAAGCCCTCTTTCAGGTTTAAGCTTACTCTTAATTAGTAATTCTGCTAAAGAATATTATTGGATGCTTATGGCTCTTTTCTACCACATATCAAAAAGGAATTGAGAAAGGATAATTTTACCAAATTTTCAAAACACGCCTTTGGTGAGTCCTTCCTACATAGGACTTAGGCTTCAGAATCACTTCCAAAAATTATCTATTAATTTCACTGTCAATTTTCACTGTTTGAAAACTGAAGACACAGAAATTCAAATGACTTTGTCAAAACCACATCATCATTTTGTGGAAAAGTGAGGAAGAATTGGGTCACAAATCTTTGGAGTCTATTTGGACACTTCACTGCAGAAGTTTCTCGCTCTCTGAACGTTGCCTAATTGCAGTGGTATGAGACGATATGTTGATTATTATGATCCAAAAGACAAATATAATAAAGTTTTCCAGCATTTTTTCAAATCTGAATTAAACATTCAAAAACAGTGTAAGAGAATGTGCACTTTTTTGCTTCTTCTTAACTCTTTGTAGAGTTGATCACAAAACTGTTCCTTTGTAATAGCAAGTTGATAAAGCTGGAGTCCACTGTAGGAACACTGTGATCTTGTTTTCTAGGAATCAGGTAAGGAACAAAAATTGTGAGACCAAAGCAATGGACACCCAAATTGGCCACTGGTGTTGAGGGCATATGAATGCATTAGTGGAAAACTTGATTTTTAATTGAATGTGTTAACTTCATACTTTAACCATAAGACTTTTGTAGCTTTTGGTCTTTTTACCTCAGCTTTCTTTTACCTTGTTTTTCTCTTTACTTGCTCTGTTTCAGCTCGAGGAGGAATACAGGCTCTCCGTTTGCAGCAAGCTCTGCTATGCAATAGGAGGTGCCCCGAATCAAATGGCAGGGAGTGCTGCTGCTTTCTTCTTGCAGATCTACTTGCTAGATATAGCCCATGTAAGTAGCACGAGAAACCTTTATGTCAATTGTGATAGAATCAATAATTCAACTTGTCTATAACTGTTAAGGATAAATTAGCTTCTAAAGCTTTTAAACTGTCTTGTTATTATCACCTTTAGCATCCTGAAAGTTGCATAAACATGTTTCTGACTTGAAGTGGCCATCATTTGCTTTCAATTTGGGTTCATCAGCAGAGCTTTTGGAACTCCAGAGCTTACATGCTTGCCAACACAAGAAAATATGGTTCTTGCTTTAAAAGAATTGAAAATCTAAGATGTGAGACACATGAAACTGAGCACTAGAAGTTTCAGTAGTAGACGTAGTAGAAACCTGGTCAAAAATCACTTAATTGGGTCCAGTAGGCAACACAATTTCACATCATTTTTATTTGTTTTGGCTTGGATAATTCTTTGCAAAGAAAGCTGAGTCATCCTTCCTGAAAGTTCTTCACTTCCAGTCTGTGCCTTTCTGATACAGAAGCAGACCTGGTAAAACAAAGCAGCAGGAGTCATCCCATTCATATGAGTTTTAGCTTTTCCAGCTACATTCCGGGGTAGCAGAGAAAGAAAACAAATCCATAAGCAATTTTGGTTGTTTTGGATCATGTTCTGTATCTCTGTGGTAACTAGGTGGGATAGGCAAAGTATTATAGGAGAGAAAAAAGGCAGGGAACAAAAGGGCTTTAGGGAGATGAGGCCAAATTGCAGGGGCTGAGAGAACAGCTGCTGCTGAAGCTCCATGAGCGGATTTCATCACTGACTCCTTTCATTTGCTCGAAGGAAAAGGAGGTCCAGGAGCAGATACAAATACTTATTTACTGTTTGAAATGTAGAAAGGCAGAATATCATAATTTGTGGGGAGGAAGGAAGGGTCAGGGGAGTGGAGATGTCCACAAATTTGGGTTTACGTGTTTCTTATGGAAGGCCAATATCAGAAGCTGAGGTTTATAACATCAAGTAACACCAAACCTTGTGAGTCTCTTGATAGATTGTCAAGCTTTGCCACCACAGTATGCTTGGTGTTGAAAGCTGACAAGTTCTTAATGTCTTGCTGAGACCAAAGTCACAGGATTTAGAAAAGGGAGCGATTTTAGAGATCAGCTTCAACGATGGCAAAGGGGTGATGTGGAGTGTGCGAGCAGAGGATGGCAGAGGGAGTTCTGGGACGTGCAGCCCTGACCACAGCTGTTTCACACTTACTTCCACGATGACTGTACAACCCAATGAAGATAATGCAGGATGAACGGGATGAAAAATACATTAATTCCCAATGGTCTTATGAATAGAGGAGTTTCCCAATCTTCTCCCTCTTCACAAACACTGAACATTCTTGAAGCAGAGGACTGTTTGTTTCTTTCTGTGGGTTTGTGAAGTGTCCAGCAAGATGGGGTCACATTCTTGCTTCTCTCGGGGTACTGCCTATAGAAATGACAGAGTATTTTATTTTTTTACCTACTGAAACACCATAATTTTGCTGGACATTTCTAGTAATACGCTTACTGTTTCATAAGAGGACTTAAGTATTTGTTCATTGATGGTTTAGTTAGTCCCCGACATAATCCTGCATGACAAGATTAATTTCAAGGCTCGCCACCAGATCTGAATTCCCAAGGGGTTTTCAACATATTTTTATGAGAGAATATGTTATTTTATAGTCATTACCTGGAATTAATTCTTGTCCTCTGAGAGGGCAAAACTGATTCAGCTGCTCCTTAGAGATTGTGAAACTCAGATGTGAAATCCTTCATACATAATCTATATCCTTTCCAAGAAAAGTATATTGGTATTCATCTTCTGTAGCTTATAATATAATGTTTGGATTCCATTTTTCAAGTAAATTATGAGTATAAACTGAGGACTAGTATAAACTAATGATATAATGCCAAACCTTGCAGAATCCTTGAGTCAAATTACTAGAAAACACAAAAATGTTTCCAATAATAGGCTGCTGTGCTCTGCTTCTTTCAGGAATGACACGTGCAGCGATGGGGTGCCTGGAGAGGCACTGTCACTGAGGCACCATTCCCAACACTTCCCTGTTGGCTTTCTAGGGTAGGGGACGTGTCTCGGAGCTGGCAGTGTCACAGAGATTGGCTGCCCCTGCAATCTCACCTAATTTGAGCTGGAACTTAACAAAGGGGATTACAGAACTGATCGGTATCTGCCTTGGAAAAAGGTCATTCAGGCCATTTTAGAGATTGTCGCTTCTTTCTTTCTCACTCTGAGGGAGACAAAGTTCTGCAGATAGGGGACTTGCACCACCTGGAAGCAGTGCGATGCTTCCCAGGGGATAATAAACTCCTCAGGAAAGAGGGAATACGAGCTCGAGCTGGGTGTTTTATCAGCTGCATTTACCAGGCTCTCAGCTACGTTTGAGCCCTGACAGCATGAAACAACATACAGAAAAAGCAGGTTTTGGCTTCTGCCAATGTTTTAAGTCCAATACGCTGCTTCAGCAATCTGCATTTTCTTTATTTTTCTTTTTTCTTCGTTATTTTAAAGAGAATTAATTTGAGGAACATTCATGATTATATAGATTTCAATGGCTCTTCTCAAGCCTTTTCTTTAGTGGCATGGACTTGGCAGTGAGAAGAGAACCAACTTTTTTTTTTAGCCACCGTTATGATTTAAATTCCTAAGCCCTCTACAGAGATACATAGAAGTAAATGTATTGCCTAGGATAAATTATATTTCTATTTATGCCCTTACATTTGGACTTTCCAAGTTAATTTCAAAGTTTTTTTTCTACTTGGCTATTATATTTGTATGTAAATTGGGTGCATTTTGCAAGTGTGATTTGTTGGACTTATGCTGGCAACTTTGATTTGAAGAGCTGTGCGTTATGCAGTTCACTTGCCACAGTTCAGCCCTGGATGGATACAAGTAATCTCTAGACATGGAAAAGATGAAATTCATGGAATTCCATGATGAAATTCATGGAAACATCTACCTCACTTTTAACTAGTTCTGGGCAAGGTAAAGCTCTGGAAATGGGGCTGTGTGGGGAGTAAAGTGAGGGGGAAGTTTGAGAGGACTGTCTGCTTCTATGACTAAAAAAAAACTATGGTTACCTGGCCTCTATTTGTCTCCTTTTCCCAGTTTTAAATATATCCATAATCTCGTCTTCCTTGCACCTTTCCCCTCCGATCCTTTCTTGCACAATGCCTGTCTTGGTCTCTCATTAATTTGCCATGGGAAGCCAATTGTGTAACCTAAAATAATTTCTCTGACAGCAGCAGATGTGTGTTGCAAATGACCCACTATTACTCTTTAAAACACTGCGATTCTTTCTGGAAAGTTGCTTTTTTGCTGTTTCATGGCGTTGTGAAACAATGGCCCTTGTTTTTAGTGTTGTGTCTGTACTTTCAGATCACTCCGTTTCATGCCTCTCTGGTGCTGTTCATTGGCAAAGCCTCAGGTGCAGTTACTGATCTTGTCGCTGGCTTTTTTATTAGCAAAAGTAGGTGGACAAAAATTGGCCGTCTCATGCCTTGGTAAGCAGAAATACGTGGCTATATTTACATATATGTGTTTGAATCCTTTTTGTGTGAGTGCTGTATTCGTACATTCATTTCATTGAATTAAACTGTACTTTGCCTTTTTTTTTTTTCCCAGACAAGAGTGATCATATTAATTCTACCTATATCAAACTGAAAAGAGAAAATCCTCTGCCAACTCTTTAACTTGTCCTTCTATGAAAACATGTAGGAGATTTTCTGTCACTAGAGAAATAAGTAAATGAAGACACTGGGTTGTTTTGTTAAGCAAACTGGAATCTCAGACCTGGAACCTTCCGGATTTTGTGGATGAGTTTTCATCTCTGTCCAGATTCTTTTTAGTCTGAGATGTATTGGAATTATCCCTTTATTTTTGTCTTCCATTGCTGACCAGCTGTAAATGGAAAATGTAGAGGCAGAGAATTACAGAACCTGGTACTTTCCTACACGTTCAGCTCCCAGGGCTGCTGTCCACCCCCATAGAGCCGTACGGGAAAACCTTTGTTTTACTGAACTACCTACCCACATTTCTCTTTTGTTTTCCACCTTTTTCGTTCACGATTGCAAAATAATCAGCTGAGCCCTGACGTCAGTAGATCTGTTGTGAAGGGATTAATGATTTCTCTTCGACATGATCTTTTTTGTTGGGTCTTGGTCATCCAGTGACATTGTTTTATATATGATTTGCAAGAATACAGCAGAGCTTTGGTGCTGCTGTAGGTCAGGCTGCTGAGGAATGAGTGCCCCTGATCACCTCTTTCATATAATGGAGTTTAAAAAGTGGTGCTTACCTTTAACCATTTTTAGACTAATGTAGATAGAATTGTTGATTCATGGGAAGATGGTGAATTTAAGCTTTTGTGATCCTCTTTTAAGCCACCTTCTTTTTTAGGGGTTCATGCTTTTATGTTTGGAGCAATTAGGAGTTTGGCTGTTGAGTTAAACGGAACAAATATGACCATAGGGTATTATATTCTAGAATAAATGCAGGCTACAGGGATTTTTGAATTGAGTTGTCCCTAACCTTTTATGCTGTTTTCAGCATTTTTGAGTTAGGGATTTTTGAATTGAGTTTTTGAATTGAATTTTTATGCTGTTTTCAGCATTTTTGAGTGTATCAACATACCTGCATTTGTTTAAAGTAGCAGCAAAAAGGCTAAGTTGAGAGGAAAATAAAAGGCATTAAAACTGAAAGAGGAAATCCTTGGTAATAAGTAAGGTTATGTGAAAATTAGTAAAGCATCTTGTGGTGTGTTATATACAATATGTGTGCAGGGCAATCTGGTCTGTTCTATCTAGGATACTAATTTAATTAAATATAGCTCTTTTCCTTCAAGAAAAGAGCTATTTTACTGGCTTTTTTTTCCCATTTTAAAGAAGTACTGGTTTATATTTTGTCTTAATTTGTGCATTCAATGGATGCTAAAATTTAATATTTAAACCATGCCATGTGTTTACCAAAACTGCACATAA